GGTGGAGATCTGCCAGCAGCATCTTCAAGGCCTGCGTCCGCCCATAGCAGAGGTAGCTGTGGGTGTAGAGCGAGTAGTTGCTGCCGTACAGCCTGAAGAAGACAGAGGTGTTCTTGTCCTCAATGGTGACTCCAGGCTGGAAGGTTATTTGTGTGGAGGCGCCTCCAAGGTCCAGAGCTCCCAGAACCTCAGTGTCCTGTGGATGTTCCCATTTCTCTGCAAAGGAAAACTGGCCCCATAAGATGGCAAGTGTTAGTCTGAACTGGAGGGAGTCACAGTGCCTGTCCCTTCACTCAAGGTTTTGTGGGCTCAGAATCACCTGAGGGACCTTCCATATCTTCTTTAACCCCTTCCTGCCTAGGTCCTCCTTGACCCACACAGACCCCCATGTAGCACTGAGGTCTGGCTCCTTGGCTGCTGCACGTCAGCTGGACCCAGAGGCTTTGAGGATGGAAAGAGTAACACATTCATCGGGGATCTGATATTGCTGCATCCCTGTGATACCAAAATCGATGGATATGGAAGTGGAGAGCACAGGGCCAGGCTGAGCTGGACACAAAGACCCTCGATTCTGTTAATCACATCGGTGGAGTTGAATCTGCGGTTCACAGCCACAGCCTACAGTTATTTGGGTGACAAATACCCTAAACCTACATTTTTCTCTGCTCTGGGAATGAACCTGGGTGTAGCTCAGACAGGGATGTACACACTGCTTACCCTCCCTCTGCCCCCTCCCACAGCCCACACCTTGACGAGGGTCTCCAGCAGGTAGTTGACGGTGATCCAGCCAAAGGAGCCCTCCTCGTTCCCCGTCAGGATCCAAGCCCCACAGAAGTCCACAGGGTACTCGCCAATGGCCTTGGCCACCTCGGCCAAGACCTGCTCGGCCTTGGTGCTGTTCTGCTCCCTGCCCAAGGAAGGAGACAGAGACCGTGTGGGGCAGGAGGTGATGGCTGGGGAGCTCTCGGAGCTGGGCTGACAGCAAGAGGCTGTGTCTTCTGCCATGGAGCAGGGTTGCTCCGAGAC